CAATTCTTCCATAGTTGATTCTATATTGCTTGATTCCCATTTTTTACTCCGTTCTAGGATAAACTATTTCTTGTTTAAACACTCTCCTTATTTAATTTGAAGGATCCTATATCATTTTGGTAAGTTTTTCTTCACAATGTCAAGCACAATGTCTAGATGTAGGCATTGTGGTTGATTGCAGAGAAAAACTTACCAAAAACACATAATACCATGGAAAGACGGAGAGAAAAATGTCATAAAGTCAATCTTTTGTGTCTATCTTTCATATCCTACTTAATTGAGAAGTTCATGAGAATTCCATAATACTACGGAGATGTCGAGAATTCACTATATATGTGTAGAATATTCTGGAGCTTTCTAGCGAATTATAGAATTATCTAGAAGCGTGTGAAAAAGTATAGAATATTCTAGAACATTGTAGAGTTTTCAATAGAATTGTTGAATTCTCTAGAATCGTGTGAATGCGTCTAGAACATCCCCAAGAGATGTGGAGCTCTCCAAATCCTTGTAGAAGATATATTAGAGAAGCTTGTAGATACTTCTTGGAAGACTCTAGAAGTATAGTGGTGTTTATGAAGTTCTAGAGAAGTCTTAAAGAAAGTAGTATAAATAGGGCTGAGACTCTTCATTCCTATGAGAGAGCATTGAGCCTCCTTATTAAGTGATGAAAAGAGAAGAGCATTAAGAAGAGCTCTTGAATGAGTGAGAATCTCCTTGAGAGGGGAGAGTGAGAGTCAAGTAGTCTCATATACAAAGTCAGGTGAGCTAATCGTTTACTTGTGAATATTTCTTGTATATATCAATTGTATAATGCAAAGTGATATTGTCAGATTGAATGTTTGTATTGCGAGGGTGTGGGTGAGTGAACAAGAGTGATATCAGCGCGTGATCTTGGAAGAGATCGGGGACTTGTGTTTTTCCCAACAATGGTATTAGAGCCGAGGTTGTTGGAGGTAGAGTAACAGGTAGATATCATCGTGGGGATGGATCTCGTCTTATCGTGATGGTAGCAGTGTTGTCGAAGGCATTCAAATCAGACTCTTTAATGTGATGATGGACTTCATTTTATAGTTTGGGTCATACATATATAGAGAGTGATGGGATGCATTATGTAGGTGTTTCTCAGCATGGTCTCATGCATTGGTCTATTAATGGAGAATTGTATTGAAAGTCTTCTTGATATTGTGTGGTCATGCGGCGTGTCCCGTTGGTAAAAAGCGGCGGTACAAAATGAATTGCAGATCAAATGGAGTCATGTCCTGATGGTTTGGTCTTGCGATTTGATCTACTGTTGGTGCATAGTATTGAAAGTCTTCCTGATATTGAGGTGATTAGGCGGCGTGTCCCGTCAGTAGATAACGGCACTACAAGATACTTTAGTGGATCGATTCTTGCTGCGAATGGGATTATGACCATTAACTCCTTGGTGGTTTCTCAAATGGTGTGATATAAGCTTTGTTTGAGAGGAGCAACTCACATGTGAGGTAGAGACTAATGAGTCTGAATGTGCTATTATTGGTGGTTGGTTGTTACTTCTCAATTAAGTCGGTGGGGGAGATTTGTTGGGTTCCCACCTTAATTGAGAAGTTCATGAGAATTCTAGAATACTACGGGGATGTCTAGAATTCTCTATATATGTGTAAAGAAGTATTGAATGTTCTAGAATATTCTGGATCTTTCTAGAGAGATCTAAAGTCATCTAGAAGCGTGTGGAAGAGTGTAGAATTTTTTAGAGCATTGCAGAGTTTTCTAAAGAATTGTGGAATTCTCTTAAATCGTGTAGAAGTCTCTAGAACATCATGAATAGATGTGCAGCTCTCTAGATCCTTCTAGAAGATTAGAGAAGCTTGTAGATATGTCTTGGAAGACTCTAGAAGTGTAGTGGTGTATAAGAAGTTTTAGAGAAGTCTTAAAGAGAGTAGTTTATATAGGGATCGATGAGACTCTTCATTCCTATGCAAGAGCCTTGTTAAGGCCTCCTTAAGTGATGAAAAGAGAAGAGCCTTATGGAGAGATCTTGAGTGAGTCGAGGCTCTTTGAGAGAGGAGAATGAGAATGAAGTAGTCTCATATACAAAGAGTGAGGTGAGCTACCCGTTTACTTGTAAATATTTCTTGTACATTTCAATTGTATAATACCAAGTGATATTGTCATATTGAATTTTAGTATTGCAAGAGTGTGTGTGAGTGTACAAGAGTGATATGAGCTCGAGATTGCGGAAGAGGTCGGAGAGTTGTGTACTTGTGTTTTCCCCAACATTTCGATCTTAGCACATATGTGTGGACTGGAAACTCTGGCCTCAAATCTAAAATCGATGACCCCCATTTGTGTTGCGGGTTAGACTAGGTCTGGAATCAGTTCGGTTCTTTTATGTAATTAGTGGAACCGTTGCAAAAAATCTAAATAATCAAATCGATTTGGTTCCTATCTAAAATTTCAAGAACAATTATGGAACTTAACCAATAAGTAATCAGTACTTTTGCGACGACCGGCCCTAGGGGAGACCCTAGGGAGCCATCTCCCACCTCCTGCGAGATCTGACTTTCATGTCTCATCTTCTTCAAACATCAATAATTTTGGAAGATGATGATGTTCTTTTGGCCGAGAGATTTGTCCGCTTCATGTGAGCGTGTGGTATATTTTTCTTCTAACGATTTGTTGATCTGTCATCAGAGTAATCAATACGGTGAGTTTTCGTTGTTCATGGTTGAATTTTTTTTCAACTTAGCTTTATTCTTTTGAGGCTTCATTTATTTGCCCTCCACCTGAACCACCGCTTCGCTCCGGCAAAATGAACACGCTCAACTGGATCCCCTTTTCGGTGGTTGGTCAAATCAATACTCCCTTTCTGGTGGTTGGTGAAACCGAATTTTTTATTTGTAATTTTTTATTTTTTATGTGGAGTAGCAAGTGTAGCAAAGCTGTTAGACTAGACTACATAATTACGGGTTAGCGATCTGGAAGGATTTATGGGATCTTTTCCGTTCAAAGTCTCATCCCATTGTAGTTTTAGGTAATTCATTTACTTGTTTCGTTGCTATTATTTAATATGAATAAATTTGTTATTTGATTTTTTTAAAAAATACTTTTTGAAGATCTTATTATTCCAAACATCAAGTCCAAACTTAACTTAATCAACACTTTATAGAATGAGATAATATTTTGAATTTTGTTTGTAAATAAAATATGAAAATCGTTGTTGTTTGATATGAATAAAAGTTGGATCATCATAGTAGAATAAGACGTCGAGTTCAAATTCCTCAAAACGTAAAAAAAACATATATTGAATACGCAAGTACAAATATAAACATCATTACGTACATTTCAAATCCTAGGAGCATTATTTAAACTAAATCTCACCACTACAATCATCTTGAATATTATAAAGAAAAAAAATATCGAACCAACATGAATATATGCAACTAAGCCGACATCGACAAATTTTGGCGATCAAAAACAACTCTAAACGAAGCTAGCTAGGGCCTTCCGCACTTTGTCTGGTTTGAGTATTACTCCGGAAGCTGTTACACTATCAATAATAGATGCAGACTCTAGTACGTCGAGAAAAGAGCCGGTCTTTGGCTGCAATTGATCAAGAAGGCATCGAGAACAGGCGACGCTTAGGCTGATTGCAATGGGTGGGGGTGAAAACCCCAAATGTGAGGTTTTCACCCCCAAAAGAGCTGTAACCGGGAATAAATTTTGTATAGTGAGGAGTCATTGGGAGTATGGATAACCTTGGGGGGGCGACTCCTGGACGGGCAATTGCCTCTCATCTGGAGGTGACTTGCATAGTGGAGAAATTAATGGGTCCCCATCAATCAACGCGCCTGACAATGTGATGAGCAAAGGAATGGATTGGGTTGCTGCGTGGGAGTCACCTGCTGTGTCGCGGATGAAAAAGGGTGGGGTGACGGTAAAATACATCCTACAGCCGGTTGTACCGTGCGCACGGTACAACCGGCCTTTTTTGGCTTTTGCGCTTCTTCCCCTCGCACCAGAAGATCGATCCAGCTTCGCACCAGAAAATTTTCACCTGCTTCTTCACCTGCTTCTTCACTTGCTTCTTCGATGAACATCTAACGAGAAGATCGATCCGCTTTGTAGTTCCAAAAAGTGAACCCCTGCATCAAAACCCTTTGTCAAACGCCTCTCACCAAAGTATGCCATTCACAAAACCCTTTTGACCCCATTATTACTCTTCACCTGACATCTTTTCTAAAAACATTATAATTGTGAATGGGTGTTAGTACCCTTAATTTATGTCAACACACTTTGAGCTTGAAGAGTTGCACATTGCTTTTAGAAAATGAAATATCACTTTTTAAGTGGCTCTTTTATCCTTAACTCCGTTAGTTGTTAAATAATACGAAGTACTTGATGAGTTAGTGATCATTAATGATATGAGCTTGGCTTGTGAATTACGTAGTATATTACTAAAAAGTACTACCTCCGTCCCATATTGACTGTCCACTTTCAATTTGACACTGTTATTAATAAAGTGGTTGAAAAGTAAAAGTTGTGGTTGAGATTTGAGTAAAATAAAATAAAATGATAAAGACCACATATTTCTTGCCAAAAAAGGAAATAAGACATTCATTTTGGGACGACCCAAAAGAAAAGTAGGACAACCAAAATGGGACGGAGGGAGTAATCACTACAATAAAATTGATTTGTGGAGGCATACCATAATTGCCTCTAAATATAACAAATTAGCCTCTAATGCTCTTTGGAGGCAATTTAGTGGTTGCCAACAAATAGTCCGTCGCAAAATGATGGTTGCCTCTAAATGCACTCTTCGGAGGCAATAATTCCTTGCTTCTAAAAATGTATCTTTAGAAACAACCATACTCTCTTGCATCAAAATGCCATTAGAGGCAACCTACTGTGTTGTGTCAAAATATTATTAGAGGCATCTTAACATTGCTTTTAAAACTTTCAAATGCAACGTTATGTGTTGGCTTAAAAGCTTTTTAGAGGCACCGAAGCGGAACAAATTAGACAACATACATTATGTGGCAACAATTTTATTTTATGCCAAATTTCATATACTTCTTTAAATGTCAATATACACTAAAGTTTATTATAAATAACTCACAAAAGCAACACATCCTTTAAATTACATCACACAATATCAAAATAAATTTTCTTTTAATAAGTGAATGTAGTAACTACTTAAATAATTTGTTTAATCTAATCTACAATATCCCCATGAATAATATGTAAACTGGAACTAACAAGAGTTACTAAAACATTATGATTTAACAAGATAGATCCAAAAGCTAGCTTCAAGAAAACATTAATTTAGAGAGATTCTTCTTCCTCAACCTCATCATCTTGCTCTTTATATATTCAACCTGCAAAACAATATAACTGCAACTATTATATTGAGGTATTTGCAGGTATATAATACACAATCTCTAACAAATGAAGCTTGACGCCTTCAGCAACTAATCTTATTAATCAAAAATTTATTTTGATATCCTGTGTTATACGAAGTTCTATATAACTTCAGAAAATAATCTTAAGTTAATACTTCCTGGCTTGAACTGCAAATTGTACTACTTATTTACACTAGAAGTTACTGCACAACCTATTACACTAGAGTAAGTCTGCACCTCCAACTAACTTAGTATACCAATTGTCTCATAAATAATACTCCCTCCGTCCCGTAATTAAGTTCACAGTTTGACTTCACACAGATTAAGAAAATAAATTTGACTTTACTGTGGAGTGCACTCTTTTGCACTGTTTAAACACTGTTTGGACATTGTTTGGCATTGTTTGGTTAGTGAGTTAAGAGTGCACCTCACCTGCTAGTTCTAGTTATTGTGTCATCCAAAGTTAACATGAAAATGTCCTATCTATCTAGGTATTTAGCGGTATTTAAATACAGAGAATGGTATTTATATTATATGGAGTATCCACTTAAGCAATCAAAATGCCCTTATTCTATGTAAATATATGCATTTCAATGTAATAGAGGGGAGCTTACTTATAACCTTTGAATACAGGGGCTAAACCCAAATTCTGCCTTACTTCTTCATGTCAAGGAGTTAATGATTAAGCAGTTGTAGCTAATCTGAAATCACAGGTATAAAAAATCAAATACAATACATCATAAACCATTAATAAAACACACGTAGAACCAAAGAAAAGAAGATAAATAATGGGTATCTTCGTGCCTGTTTTCATATTCAGAACCAAGAATTCATTAAGGGATATCAAAGACCTAAAGTGGCCTTGGAATCAAATGCCACAAAGAATCAATAAATGAAATAGGCAGAGAGTGGGCTTACCAAGCAGCTGGAGTGGAAATAGGCGGAGGAGAGGGAGACTTGGATGGAACAAAAGGATCTGCAGAGGAGCTTATCGCCTCTTCCTTCCCATTCTCATCCTCTTTAGCTCGACTGGCATGGGCTCCGCCCGCTCCATTTGGTGGAAGTATTTCTATTACATTACAATCAATATTATGCAGTAGTAAATAAAAAATATTGGCAACCTCAAACACATTTGTTACTGGAGAATTTGGAGTTCGAAAATTGAGTCGTACTACATTCGTATATGAAGATTCCAATGCGTATTGTCCACCACTGAGTAAAGCTATGTCCCCTGTGGCTGATTGGATCTCTAGAGCCGCTGATTCGGAGTCCAAAAATGGATTTCGGAAGCACAAGCCTGGTCATGAGCGTGAAACCTGAGATGAAGCCGTCTTAAGTTTTAAGTTAACCTAAATGATAACGTGGAGAAGAAAGCCTTACGCTCTGTTTCGGAGTCCGTCGCTCAACTTGGACCAGAGAAAAGGTCGATTTTTCCCGTCGTTGAACACTTGAACCTTCAGTTTGTCAGTTGCTTCTCTGTAGTTGGCCTGCTGAGTCGATAACGTGGAGGAAATTCCAATTTTCTCTGAGATTGCAGCGACGCCCTCTTCTAAGATCCCTACCGGCTTTGAATCTGCCTCGATCTCTCCTTGGCCGCCATCAGAAGTGTCGCTTGCAGATCGGCGATTCCTCTTGTCGCCGAGTAAAACCGGCGCGCCTCTCATCCTCTTGTCCGCTGAGGAAACCCCTCTATCGCTTGCAGATTGGCGATTCTCATATTTTCTCTGAACACTGCCTGGAGCAATGGATTTAGGGTTAAAAAAATTGCAGCAATTGTGAAAACGGGGTCCGTAGACCGTAGGTTAACTTAAAACTTAAATTTTTTGATAAGTTTTGTCAATTCATTTGGTAATCCCTTTCAAAGTATCAAATTTATGAGTAAAATTTTTTATTCATATAATTCTTTGCTAAACAAATAATTTTTTATTTTGCGCAGTGAATTATGTACTAATAAGAAAAGTGAGATTAAAGTTACTTTTCTGGCTGTATTGGATGAAGTTACTGTAGATTATTTTTTAGTTATTTTAACATATATTTTTTTATTAATAGAATATGCTTTAAACTTTACTTTTTCATAAATCAACAGAATCAGCCATTTAGCCACTTCAGTCATAACTTCATAAATTTTAGCAGAATCAGCTCATTCAGTCGATTTTGATATTACTAAACAGGCTCTTAGTCATGTAAAGTTTTCACAAAAAATTGATTAGATGGAAAAAATATTTAGTGATTAAACCTAGTCAATTTTTAAAATTGAGAATACTTCTTTAAAAAAAATCAGGATACTTTAGAGGCAATAACAATTTTTTTAAAAGTATGGAGGCAAAAACATACCATTAATTAATTGCACCTTTTAGAAGATTAAGAAAATTAGTTGCCCAAAATTATCGTCTCTATAATTGATATGACGTTTTGAAGTAGATATTTTAGGGGTGATTATAACTTACAACAAACTTTTAGAGGCATCCCTGAAAAGGTTGCTCCAAATAATAACTTTTAGGGGCAACTATGCTTTTGTGGCATGCTTTTAGAGGCAGTCCTATAAAAATTGCTCCAAATAATACCTTTTAGAGGCAAGAAAACTATGGGTGCCTCAAATGTATTGGGAGCTTACAACATTAGAGGCAACCAAGATTATTTGATGCTAAAAAGGTCTTTTAGAGGCAAATTGCTTTAAAGTTTTGCCTCTATAAATGATTTTTGTTGTAGTGAATAATCAGACCTCATCGATGCATCACTTTGCTTTCTGATCAATTTTGATCATGTGTACAATATTTAAGATTTTCGAACCTTGTGTAGCATTTAAATTTGGGCCTTTTAAACACACGGACCACTTTGATAAAAATGAAACACATGATCCTATCTTAAAACAGGCACAACGACAAGTACTTTTTCCGTACTTTTCCCTAAATAATATTACATCCATTACAATTTAATTTTAATTGCATTCTCATAAATGTTTTGTGTATTTTAAATTATGCAATTAACATCATAAAATTACATTTGTGATAAAATATATATTCATGATGCTAACATAACTTTTTATATAAAGTTTGGGGTACATATATTACATGTGCAAGTTTGGGGTACTCATCTCACACCTATTCAAAATTTGGGATATTTAAATTATTTTCCCCAAATAGCAAACATAGAGTACATCTTAATTTCACAATTTAAGAGCTTGTTCCAAAACCCCTACTTTTATTATCTCAATTTTATCTCCTTGCTTGTTGAGCACTGATAATTTGAAAAGATTTTTTTTATATTTCTACACTCAACATCTACACTTACATATAATAGTCCAATATTCACATAATTTAATGTGTTCAATAATACGGCCGACAAAATTCATTATAAAATCCTGTTATCACCACAATTATTTCATAATTAAACCAAAAAATTGGCCATTTCATTAAATCACATAGCTTTAAAAAACATAGGCAGAATTTTCACGCAGTAGTTGGTGAATTGAGCAGATAATTGATCAAACAATTCATCAAAAGTTTAGGATAATTTTATGCATTATTTAAAAATCCTCATAGCAATCTCATATATAATAATTTCTCATAAAAAGAGTATGACTTTAACATTGGGCAAATATTCTCGCGCCTTGTGCGAGCAAACGCTAGTTTGCAATTATAAGCTCCAACTACAACCATCGTGACATCCACAAACTCCTTATGACATTTTTTATAAATCTGTTATATAGGATATTATAAAAATGAGTCTTAACAAATAAAAATATAAGCATAGTAGACATTTCGAAAGAGTTTTTTGAATGCTCATTTCGTAATTTATGTATACTCATTTTATATTAGTGCAATACTCATTTTAAAATGTTATATTCATGCATATTTCAAAATGAGTTTTATGTTAAACTCAAATGAGTATAACGTCCAAAATGAATGCGCACATGCAAATGAGTTTTTGAATATTTGATACTCATTTTGTAAGTTATGTATGCTTATTTGGTATTGTTTTATGCTCATTTTAAAAGGCTGCACATGTTAAACATATCATAATCCATTAGATTCACATATTGAAATTAAATGAAATTGATTATTGACATAATTTAAGAATTTAATAAACGAAAAATAATAAACGGAATGTGATATGAGGAATGAAGCAGTTATCACTCATGCTCACTGTTAAGTCCTCTAGATTTTGATGATAAATGTAATAGTTTTGATGATGTCATCCCTTTTTATTTATCCCTGTATTAGACTAGTTTACTAGTTTTGTTCTACTTTGTTTATTTGTAATGTACTTCATATATTAGTGGTAAAGTACTCATAAAAAGCAAAGAGTACTAAAAAGAGAAATTAAACATACCATAAAACAAAAGAAAAAGATCAAAAAGAAAAGGTATGAAAAGAGTTAATTAGTATTCATTGTTAAGGAATGAGTTAGCTGAAAATTGCCAGAAATCAGCAACCAACTGATTTTCTGGGCAGCCAAACTCATCCAAAATCCAATTCTCTCTTCTCTTAGCACAAAACACTTAAACAAAAACCAACTTGTCAAAATAACAATTTGATAAAAAGTAAATTTATAAGAGATTTTAATCACATTATAAATTTCTTATAAATTTATTTTACTAAAAGCAAATGTTCGTTATTTTGTAAGGAAGCATTGAAATATCACTCAGCTTTATACTAGTTTCTACGCGTGAAAATAAAGATAAAATATCTTTTATCTTGCATTGAAATGTGTAAACAAGTTGAGTTGAATATTGTTGATCCGTGGCACTACGTGACAAAGACAAACCACGCTGCCTCAGTCAAGTGGAACAAAGCAAGTAGATCAAGTTACGGTCAAGATTCATTTCCTCAGCCAACGGTGGAGATGCAATGATCAAATCTATAAATACAGAAGGAGTGTGAGATTACCAAGTGTGGTAAAACGAGAGGAGCCAAGTGGATAGAAGGAAATCATACTCTACACGAAGAAATCCAGCCAGCTGATTTCCCTTCTACACCTCGGCTGCCACCCCACTCGTCTAATGCTCTTAGAATAGCTATAATTCATACACATCTATGGAGCTTAGATTAGTTAGTAGTTTAGCAATACGTCCATGTATTCTAGACTAGTGTTAGACATTCTGGATGGCTTTGTGTTCAAGTCCAGAAGGTAAGAAAGACAAGGACATGAATAGCTCTTGGCAAGTCAATGTCATTAGTGAAAAACCTTGGGAGGACTTAGTAGCTTGGAACAGTGTTCAAGTTCCTTGTGAAAAACCTCACAACCTACGCCTGGGCCAAGGGTAGGTTGGGACACTAAATGTAATGGGATATTCATTTAGTGGAAATTCATCTGAAATAGGTTGGGACTGGATGTAGCAGGATTACACCACCTCTGAACCAGGATACATCGTGTGTCATCTTTTACATTCTGCTTCTAACAAATATTCAGTATTCACTCACCTTCACCATTACACAGCAAAACAGCCTTCTCACTAAAAATGTCAGTGAACTTTCCCAGTTCACTGTGAGTCATCTCCTTGTTATCTGTTCTTCAAAATGACCTATTTTCATTGGTATAAATCCTTCTTACTTGTGTGTTAGACTAGTTCTAAAGCCAGCCAATACGTTAGAGTATAGATCATTGCTATACCTTAACTAAAATAAGCATAAACATCATTTCGGCAGCCTGCTCCTAACGATTGGCAGTCAGCTCCCAAATAGTCTGGCAGCCATCTCCTTCAGGATTTCGGCAGTCTGCTTCTGGCAAACACATTTGTATCACGTTTAAACCATCTCTCTCACAACTAAAAGGGTCATAACCTTTGTTTCTATAAAGTGTCATCCTCTTAAGGTCAAGACTTCCGTTGCATGTTTCAATATCTCCCAAAAGATGTTGAAACATATTCAGTTAGAGAAAAAATGGTTGAAAACCGAAAAGATTTAAAAGTCTATTCACCCCCCCCCCCCCCCCCTCTAGACCACCTTTAGGCTCCGAATACTCAAAAGAACAGGCTTGATGCTCATCAAAATTGATCAAATGCTCATTTAAGAGAATCCGTGATTTTTACCAAAATTACAAGTTTGCCGCCGGTTGTACGACTGGCACCGTACAGCCGGCTGTACTATATACGCTTCCTGGGGTGACCTGGCATCTTGGCTTCTTTTTGGAGGTGGGAACTAATTAAAAAAATTGTTTGATGTATTGCAATATTATTAATCAATTACTCCGTAATAGTTCTTAATTCTTTCAAAAAAAATTAATAGTTCTAAATTGATTTCAAATTGAACTCAAGTAGGCATTTCAAATTTAAAAAATCACATTTTTTATTTTTTTATATCGGATTGTTTGACTTTTTAAATAATAATTATTGGCAAAAATAAAAGTATCACATAAATGATGTGTAATAATAAGAAGTAAGGATATATGCATTTACTTAAAAAAAATGTGCTGAGTGGATATATTGACGGTGCTAGGTTGCAGAGAAAAACTGAATTGACTGAATGAATACGTATAAAGTGGTGTGAGATTAGATTTATTGACGGGGTGGGTTGCGGTTAGCTTTAGGGTTGCAATAATATCCTACTCTCCATCAATGTTCTAAAAGGAGTTAGACACTAATCAGGTGCCAACTCAGCGCTTAAGGAGCTAGGCGGGTGCCTAGGCGGGGACTAGTCAGAAACATATAAATTACTAATATAACTTTATAAATACTTTTGCTTTAATATGATAAGTAATTTTTTTTTATGTAAAACAATATACAAACACATAACATTAACATGCATGAATGATTGAATTATCACATATAAAAATA